AAGAGGATATTCAGGCAGCCAACAAACATATGAAGAAATGCTCATGATCATTAGCCATTAGAGAGATGCAAATCAAAACAACAATGAGATACCATCTTGCCCCAGCACTAGTAGCAAAGTTCAACAAGACAGAAAATAACAAATGCCGGTGAGGATGTGGAGAGTTTGGGACTCTCATACGCTGCTGGTGGGACTATAAAATGGTACAACCACTGTGGAAAGCAGTATGGCAATTCCTTAAAAAGTTGGAATTAGAAATACCATTTGATACTGCCATTCCATTACTAAGTATATATCCTAAGAAGTGAGAGCCATGTCAAGAACAGACATATGCACACCCATGTTCATCGCAGCACTATTTACAATAGCCAAAAGATGGAAACAACCTAGGTATCCATTAACTAAGGATTGGATAACCAAACTATGTTACATACACACAATGGAATACTATGCAACCCTAAAGAATAACCTAGAATCTGCAAAACACCACATAACATGGATTAACTTGGAGGGCATTATGCTGAGTGAAATAAGTCAATCAGAGAAGGACAAATATGGTATTTGTCCATTATTGTAAAAGTCAAGGAAAGGTTTATATATGGAAGGAAATTTTCTTTGTTGCTTACCAGGGGTGGGATGGGAGGGGAGGGAACACTGTTAGATAGGTAGAGATAAGCATTGATTTGGGTGAAGAGAAGGGCAATATGTGCCAAATGTGAGTGATCAACATGGTGGCACTGAGGAAGAGGAAGATATAGAGAGGTACATGGGAGTTACAGACAACAAAGGTGAATCCTTTTGCACATACAGTACTGCATTGTCAGTGAAAGCAAACATGGGTATATAGGTGGATAGATGGGTGGACAGACTGAACTATTAGGTATATCTATGCACCAGGGAGTATACCCAAGACCATGTATAGAGTTGGCAGACAATGGTTCTACAAGTGTATTTGTATGTTCTGTAAGAATTCCCAGGTGTATAGCAGAGCTGACAAGGAACAAGGTTGTAGTCACTTCTTGGGAACAGCCAGCTACCCAGAGGGAACAACTAGTTGAACCTGTGGGCTCAGGACCATAGTCACAGGGGACATCAAGCTCAATTGGCATAACACACCACACAAAATTTTGTTCAACCTCCTAATTTGGCGAGTAGTGACTGGGATCTTATAAGCTTGCAAACAGCCATCTACATGCAATGATGTGTCTCTCCTCATCCAGAGCAAGGAAGAATGAAGATAACCAAAGATGCATGGAAACAATTAGTCCTAGCGATCGTTACACCATGCAATCCACAGCCTATACAACTAAGAGACCAGTAGAGCTAGATGGTACCCAGCTACCACTGTCAACCACTTGGAGGGGGATGTATGTAGGAGCTCCTGAATAGAGAGGGAGAAAAATGTGGAACAAAACTCAAAATCATTTGGGGGAAAAAACAGGGGGACCAGGTTTGCTGGTCTAATGGAGCCTGGTCGAACCACAGAGACTATGGCCCCTAGCTGCCCTTCAGGTCTGGTATTGAACCCATACCTGTGGCTTCCAGCCAAACAAAGGACAAGTGTATGAGCTGAACATTTACCTGAGATAAATACACTACTTGGAGAGAACAATCATGGGAGAATAGAAAGGCTGTGTATGCAAAGAGAGACAGCTCAGGGGGCAGGAGTGTATGGAGGGAAGGATACAGGGAAGAGGTAACTATCAGGAGGAAGTGGGAGGAGAGCTGTTGCATTGGGGTAAATTGTGGTCAATGTCATGAGACAAAGTGTATGTGAACTGTTGTATGGAAAGTGAATTTGCTCTGTAAACTTTCATCCAAATCACAATTAAAAATAATAATAATAATAGGTAGGAGAATACTCTAGAAAGTGGGTCAGGATGGAGAAGAAAGAGGAAGCAAAGAACCTGGCAACAAGCAGGGACCTAAGAAGGGACTCTGCCAAAATTTCCTGTAGTAAGGAATGGGGTAGAGTACTGACATTTTCCCCTCCCTTTCATAAGAAATTACCCCCAAAATAATTGGCTATCCTTAATCTTTCTTTCTCACTACTAGTTCTCCTTAGACCACTTTGATATGGCTGTGTAGTCACTGCTCCTCCAGAACTACTTTTCTCAAGTTCACCAAGGGCCTCCTCGTTGTCAATTCCAATGGCCAATTTCTGCCCTCACCTGACGCAACCTCTCAACAGCATTTAACCTAATTGGCCTCATCATCTTCTGTGAAACATGCTTTTTCAGCTTCTTTGACACCATGCATTCCTGGTTTCCTCCTGCATCACAGACGTCACCATCCCAGCCTCCTTACCTCACATCTTCTCATCCTCTATCCAACTTTAAAGCCAGACCCCTTGAACCTGGCCTCCCCATGGTCAACCCTCTCTCATTACTCAGTCTCATTTACTCCCACGACTTCAACTCCATCCATATTCTGTGGCTTCCACATGTGCATCCCCAACCAGACTTCCTTGAGACACAGATCAACATCCAATTGCCTACTTTACTTCTGCACTTAGAGGTCTCATTTCAAACTCAATATTGCCTTGTAAGTATGGCCATCCATCAGAGCAAATGTCTGCACCCAATGGCTTGAACTAACCATTTATTTCACCTCCACTCCCATATTCAACCCATCAGCATGTCTTACCAATTATTTCTGTTTCTCTCAAATTCTATCCCCACCATTTTATTCCGAACTACCACCACCTCTCAAATGTATTACTATAATAGTTTACATCTCCTTCAATGCATCCATGCTACAGTAGCGAAAATGGGTTTTAAAAGAAGAAAATAAGATTATTTTACTATTCTGTTTAAAATCCTTACAATGTCATCCATCTACTTAACATAGAATCTAAGCACTACCATGGTGTACAAGCCACCCCACCTGCAGCTACCACCCCCCACGGTGCCACTTTTCCCCTTGGCCCCAGCAACAGGAACCTCATAACAGGTCTTAGAACTCCCCAAGCTCTTTTCTGCCTCAGGGCCTTTGCACTAGCTTTTCCCATTGCCTCCTTATCTTCCAGGATATGGGTGACCCAAGTATCCCCACCAAGAAATGTACCTTAACACTAAGTCATTATCTCTTAAATGCAACAGCTAAACTAGCATGACTCAGTTAACTAACTCCTACGCTAAATAAAAACAAAATATTAAATTGCATGTAATAGTGTGGTGTAGTAAATTACATAGGGTGGCTTTTCTAGCCATAAATGTTTATAAACTCCATGGTGGAATTTGCCATTAGCAACTGAGTAGCACCTGATTGTTAATGTTATCCACCTGGGGTATTTCTGTTGAAAGTGGCATGAAGCAATCTTCTGGGAAGTTCTCTCTCTCAGGTGTATAGAATTCTGATGTTGGGCTTGGTTAGTTTGGCCACTCTGCCAGGCTCAAAAGGAGCCCTCTTAGAGGCAGAAGGAATCTCTCACTGCTGGTTGAGAGACATGCATTGCTGAGAGAGACACAAGAGACACACACTGGTGAGAGAGATTGTGAGGAACACGCACTGCTGAGAGAGACACCAAGAGACATGCACTGGGAGAGAGACTGAGAGAGACTGTCAGCTGAGAGACAGCAGGCTGAAACAGACTGAGTACCTTTCTGAACTTGAATCGTCACCTGTTGCTTTCCTAATAAACCCCAAAATCTGTGAGTTCTGTGTGGCCACTGCAGAGAATTATTGAATGCAGCAGAGAGATAGTGGGTGCTGTGGGAGGAACAGTTGATGTCAGGGTTGCTGAAAGGGCTGGAGGTAGGTGGCATGTCTGGCCTTGCAGGGATAGGCTTTGGCCTACTAATGGTGATTCTGTCTTCCTGTTTTGGAGTTAGAGGAGGTCAGAAAATGCAGCCTCACTGCCCCTTTGGCAAATAGTCTTTAGTACTTTTTAAAATTGTCAATAAAGTACATGAAATATGTTGTATTTGAGTAAACCAAAGTCAAAAAGGTGTTTCTTTAACTGGAATGGTCTTCCTCTCACCCCATATAGCCATTAACCAACTCCTAAATCTATATGTTATCATTTGGAGATGGAATTAAGGCTAGACCTTCAGGTATTAACCTAAGCACTAACCAATATCAAATATTGGTACTTGAAGAATTCTGATATATGCAAGACACTCACATGGCTCTGAAAACCCATTCTCTATAAAGTACAATTTTGAATTGTTTCTCCTACAATGAAAATAAATTTAGACTCAGTCATCACAACTTTTTTAAATGAAGCAGAATATAAACAAATAAATTAAGTAAATTTGTACTTGTCTTGTGTCTATAGAGAGTCATTTATGGAATTCTTGATTGATTGACAATCAAGTGATTGACATGAGGAATGTAAAGGTAATTGCATAGTGAAGTTAGGTGAACTGCATTAACAATTTGAATTCATGATACTAGCTTTATTAGAACAATCTATTTAATTGACATAATTACACATAATCAAAGATGAGACAACATTAGAGAATAACACTTGATGAAATTTATCTTTTTCTTAACTCTAGATCTACTTTTCTCCTGTTTATCAGACTAAGAAAGCTGAGTTGAATTCATTTTAAATACAAATGATTAATATATGAGCATAAACACAGCCTGGAAACTTAATGCACTTAATATTATTGAATTCACTGATATTTCTTAAGTTTTTAAAATTACCCTAACATGGAGAAACATCAAAAATATGAAAAGTATAACTTTGAAATAAAACATTTTTAATGAAAACTTTGCATAAGATTTCATCAGGATAAAGTGCTTATTAAAATCATGTTAGTTTAATGATTATATTTATTAAACAATCTTAAATGCTGATTTCTATCCTCCTTAATTATGACTATAATTACTATAGACCAAGAGGGAAATAATATAATTATGACCTTAATTATGACCTCTATTGGACCCCAATAAAATGTTAAAGCTTACCTTTGAGCCTGGGGGGGGAGCCAATCCAAGGAACGAATATATAATATTCTCTTCTTTGGCAGAGAAGAAAGAATCAAAATCCTTGAAACAAGGAAAAAGAATGCTTAAATTCATTATACACTTGTGAGCTAGCATATTTACCTAAATGGATCTTTTTTATTCATTAGTTATTAAGTTAGGAGCCAACACAGAAGGTTGTTCCAGTCTGCTCTGTCAAAGATGACTAATGCTAAAAATTAAGAAATTAATTTTAACCATGAACTTTACATTTACTTGCATACACCATTGTGCCTGCAGTGCAGTGCAGTGAGCATTTACACACACATGCATGCACACTTCCATGGAAGGAAGGTTGGGCAATCTACTTCCGTAGTGATACTGCCTCGGAAACCCAAGGAGGGGTCGCTATGAGTCAAGGTTGACTCGACGGCACATAACAACAACAACAACAACACATGCATAAGTGCACACACACACATGCACACACATAACATGCACACAGCTACTCACACTGAGGTATTACTAACAAGACCCAGATAGACAGGCTTTTTGAAAAGTTTCACATCATTAGCTGGTTTACTTGTAATTTGGCCCAATGGATTTGGATCCTGTTCAGCCAAGAATAAGACAACATAGGAATTCTCTATTGCCAATATGGTAGCAGAAGGTTCCTGAGTGGTGCAAACAGTTTGTGCTCAACTACTACAACTATTAGTCTGTCAGTTTGTCATATGGTAGTGGTTTATGTGTTGTTGTGATTCTGGAAGCTATGACACCAGTATTTCAAATACCAACAGTGTCACCCATAGTGGACAGATTTCAGTGGCACTTCCAGACTAAAACAGATTGGGAAGAAGGACAGGGCCATCCACTTCTGAAAAAAATGGCCACTAAACACCTTATGAATAGCAGTGAAACACTGTCTGACATCGTGCCAGAAGATGAGCTCCTCAGGTTGGAAGACACTCAGACACTCAAAATATGACTGGGGAAGAGCTGCCTCCTCAAAGTTGAGTCAAGCCTAATGACATGGATGGAGTAAACCTTTGGAGACCTTCATTTGTTAATTGGGTACTACTCAAAATGGGAAGAAACAGCTGCAAACATTCCTGAATAATCAGAATGTGGAGTATATGAATTATCTAGGTAAATTGGAAGTTGTCAAAAATAAAATAGAATACATAAATATTGATAGTCTAGGCATTAGTGAGCTGAAGTGGCCTGGGACTGGCCATTTTGAATTAGGTAATAATATGGTCTACTCTGCCTGGAATGACAACTTGAAGAGGAATGGGATTGTAGTCTTTGTCAAAAAGAACATTTCATGATCAATCCTGAAGTACAATATTGTCAGTGATAGGATAATATCCATATGCCCACAGGGAATACCACTTAATACAACAATTATTCAAACTTAAGCACCAACCACTGCAGCCAAAGATGAAGAAATTGAAGATTTTTACCAACTTCTGAATCTGAAAGTGACAGAAAACACAATCAAGATGCAATGATAAATACTGGGGCGAAAGGCGGAAACAAAGAAGAAGCATCAGTAGCTGGAAAATATGCCCTTAATGATAGAAATGATGTAGGAGATGGCATGATAGAATTTTACAAGACCAATGACTTATTCATTACAAATAATTTTGTTCAACAATAAAAACAGTGACTACACATGTGGACCTTGCCAGATAATACACAGGAATGAAACTGGCTACACCTGTGGGAAAAGGCGATGGAGAAGCTCAATATCACCAGATAAAACAAGGCCAGGAGCTGACTGTGGAATACACCATCAATTGCTCACATACAAGCTCAAGTTGAAAATTTGAAGAAAATTTTTGAAAGTCCACAAGACTCAAAATATGACCTTGATTCATTCTACTTCAATTTAGAGACCATCTGAAAAACAGATTTAACACACTGAACACCAAAGACCAAAGACTAGAAGAGTTGTGGGATGAGATCAAGAACATCATTCAAGAAGAAAGCAAAAGGTCATTTAAAACACAGGGAAGACCAAATTGGATGTCAGAAGAGACTTTGAAACTTGCTATTGAAAGGAGAATAGCTAAAGTAAATGAAAGAGATGTTGAAATGAAAGAGCTGAACAGAAGATTTCAAAGGGTGGCTTATGAGGACAAAGTAAAGTATTATAATGAAATGCACAAAGACCTGGAATTAGAAAACTGAAAAGGAAGAATACTGCTTGGCATTTCTCAAGTTGAAAGAATTGAAGAAAAAAATTCAAGCTTCAAATTACAATACTGAAAGATTCTATGGCCAAAATATTGAACAATGCAGGAAGCATTAAAAGAAGATGGAAGGAATACACGGAGTCACTGTTTAAAAAAGAATTGGTCGACGTTCAGCCATTTCAGAAGGTAGCATATGATCAAAAGCCAATGGTATTGAAGGAAGAATTCTAAGCTGCACTGAAGGAACTGGCAAAAAAACAAGATTCCGGGAATTAATGGAATACCCTTTGAGATGTTTCAACAAATAGATGCAGTACTAGAGGTGCTCACTTGTTTATGCCAAGAAATTTGGAAGACAGCTACCTGGCCAAACTAACTAGAAGAGATCCATATTTGTGCCCATTCCAAAGAAAGGTGATCCAGTAGAATGCAGAAATTATCAAACAATATCATGGATATCACGCAGAAGTAAAATTTTACCGAAGATAATTCAAAAACAGTTGCAGCAGTATATTGACAGGGAACTGACAGAAATTCAAGCTAGATTCACAAGAGGACATGGAATGACAGATATCATTGCTGATGTCATATGGATCTTGGATGAAAGCAAAGAATACCAGAAAGATGTTTTCTGTGTTTTATTGACTATGCAAAGGCATTTGACTATGTGGATCATAACAAATTATGGATAACATTGCAAAGAATAGGAATACCAGAACATTTAATTGTGCTCATGAGGAACCTGTACATAGACCAAGAGGCTGTCATTCAAACAGAACAAGGGGATAATGCGTGGTTTAAAATCAGGAAGGGTGTGCATCAGGGTTGTATCCTTTCACCATATTTATTCAGTCTTTATACTGAGCAAATCATCTGAGAAACTGGACTATCTGAAGAAGAATACAGCATCAGTATTTGAAGAAGAATCATTAACAATCTGCAACATGCAGATGACATAATTTTGCTTGCTGAAAGTAAAGATTACTTGAAGCACTTACTTGTGAAGATTGAAGACTACCATCTTCAGTATGGATTATACCTGTATGTCAGTGAACAGAACAAAAATTCTTATAACTGGACCAATAAGCAACATCATCATAAACGAAGAAAAGATTGAAGTTGTCAGGGATTTCATTTTACTTGTATCCACAATCAATACCCATGGAAGCAGCAGTTAAAAAATTAGATGTCATAATGCACTGGGCAAATCTGCTGCAAAAGACTTCTTTAAAGTGTTAAGAAGCAAAGATGTCACTTTGAAGACTAATGTGTGCCTCACCCAGGCCATGGTATTTTCAATTACATCATATCAATGTAAAAGCTGGACAATGAATAAGGAAGGCAAGAAGAGTTCATGCTTTGAAATGTGATGCTAGCAAAGAATATTGCAAATATCATGGACTGCCAGAAGAACAAACAAATCTGTCCTGGAAGAAGGACAGCCAGAATGTTCCTTGGAAGCAAGAATGGCCAGACTTCATCTCACCTATTTTGGTTATGTTGTCAGAGGGACCATTCACTGAAGAAGGATGTCATGCTTGGTAAAGTTGAGGGCCAGCAAAAAAAGGGAAAGACCCTCAACTAGATGGATTGACACAGTGGCTACAATGATGGGCACAAGTATGGCAACGATTGTGATGATGGCACAGGACCAGACAGTATTTCATTCTGTTGCAAATAAGGTTGCTGTAAGTTGGAGCCAACTTAAGAGCACCTAACAACTTTCAAAATGTTGGTAGTTTGAACCCACTTTGTGGAACTGCAAAAGAAAGTGTGATAATGTTTTCCCACAAAGATTACAGCCACTGAAAACACTATGGAGCTAAGTTCTAATACATAACACATTGGGTCTCCCTGAGTTAGAATCGATTCAACTGGTTTGGTTATGTTGTTGTTGTTTCATTATAGTAGCAGGAATCCCTGGGTGGTGTAAATTGTTAACATACTTGGCTAACCAAAAGGTTGGAGGTTCAAGTCTACCCAGAGGCACCTCAGAAGAAAGGCCTGGCAATATACCTCCAAAAATTCAGCCACTGAAAAACCTATAAAGCACAGTTCTGATACATATGGGGTCACCATGAGTGAGAACTGACTCAGTGACCACTGGTCTGTTTTTTAATTGTTGTAGCTTCCAAGGCTCCATACCCATCTATGGCCTTCTTGATATCACAGAAAGAAGGGGCTTGTTTTTGCAAAGTGGAAAAAACTGTGATGTTATCTGAAGCCTGGTAATGAATTGAAATCTGGTGCTCAGTGAGGCTCCACCTCTACCCTAGCCCCCAGCCAGGGGTCAGCCCTTCACCAGGTTGGCCTAACCCTAAACCAACTCTCCCATAATATGGTTGCCAATAGCTCTGAAGAGTTTTCTCTTTCTTATAATTAAAACATAAGAGATATTTTCCAAAATTACTTAATTAACTGCCAATCTTTGCCATCCGGGCTGTAATGCACTTTTAACAATTGTTGAAAAAGAAGAGTTGTCTGGTCTAGCTAGCCATTTCTGAACAGGACAATACTCAAATCAACTTAGTTGTATTATTTCCTACCCCACTGTTATTATGTGTTGGTACTGTTAGGTGTCAAGTTGGCTCTAATTCACGCTGACCCCATGCATAGCAGAATGAAATGCTACCCAGTCCTGTGCCATCTTCACAACCACTGGCACGATGTAGTCCATTGCTGCAGCCACTGTGTATTTTAAGTACCTTCCAACCTAGGGGCTCATCTTCCAGTACCTACAGTAGCCAGTATTCTGGTGTAATACATAGGATTTTCCCTGGCTAATTTTTGGAAGTAGATTGTCAGGTCTTTCTTCCTAGTTGGTCTTAGTCCAGAAGTTCTGTTGAAATCTGTCCATCATGGTGATTCTTCTGGTATTTGAAA